CAAAACATAAAATAAAATAAAATAAAATAAAATAAAATAAAATAAAATAAAACCAGCAATTTATATAGACAAAAACAGTAATTGGTTTGTAGATTTTTTTAGTAAAAAGTCAGTCTGTTTTTATATGTAAATATACATTATATTTATATATAACATGCTGCTTTCACCTTACTAATTGCATGCATCACCTACAGGGCGTATATACTTTCCCACATATAATCACATTCTAATTATTTTATTCAGGGAAGTGTGGAATAGGATAAAGCATAGTTCGATGTGGTTCAATGTGTGGTCATGCTTGATTAAGTCACTTCTCTTTCTGAGCCTTGGTAGTCTCACCTCTAAAATGAGGATAATGAGCACTGCCTTTCCTCCCAACCTCACTGGACCATTATAAGGTTAAATAGAACGATGTGTGTATAAATACTCCACGAAGTGTAAAGCTATTCAGAATTTCTTTGTCTTTAAATTTCATCTAATCAAGCAGATTTTAGACTCATTTCTAAAGGGAACAGTTTTCTATTATTCTCTCACCTCCCCCGGGTATCTTAAGCAGTACTGAGGCATTCTAGGTAGTCAAGAAGTAAAACAGTTGGAGCTGAAAATGTAGTGAAAGATCAAACTTTGTATTTTCAATAAAACCAAATATACACATGAGTGCACTTATAGACCTAGAAATTCCTACCTTCTCTGTCCTTTTTATGTTTGCTTTTATATTATATCATTCATTTCAGAATATGACTTCTTTATTTGCTATGAATTCAAAACTTGGCAATCTGCATCTAAAGACTTTCTGTGGTTGATGGCATATATTATGTTTCTTGCATTAAACATACCTATTCATGCAAGTGTAAATATATATGTATGTGTGTGAAAATATTTTAAATTGATAGGTCCTGGGGATTTTAAAAAGAATTTGAGGCGACATATATTTGATTACAGTCTAGATGGAGTCTTCATTCCCCCCTAATACATAGATGAAATGACCTTGAATCACATTATTCTCCCATGGAAAGTCAATGTTCCTCTCAAGAATTATGCAAATGTCCTCAGGGATTTATAATGTCCTGGTTTCCCTCAGGCTTCAAGCTGTTATTGACACTAAACCAGCTTGGCATATGAATCACGTTGCCACTCTGTGGAACACTCCTGTGTCACAATTTCTCAACCCAAGCATCAACATCAGCCCCTAGCCTGACTCTTTACCACTGAAAGCCAAAACACCAAACAATCAATAAGAACAACCTAACACCTACTTGAAGGCAAGAATATGAGAATAGACTCATCGAGGGCTTCAGGGAGATAGAGCGGGAATTTCCATCCTGCTCTTGCCCCGAACTTCAAACGCAATGTCAGACTTCTCTGTTTCTAGAAGTTCTTATTAATAATAACACATTAATACATTGTTCCATAATCTTCAAAGTCTGTTTCAAAAATTATTATTAACAATGTAGAACACTTTATGTTTCTTTTTAAAAACATCTGTTAATCCAAGTTAAAGAGCTTGATAACCTATTTTCCCAAAGACATTTTCCTGCTTTAAAGGTCATCTGGTTCCGACCATTAAAATAATATATATTTTTGAATTAATAGTAATTGTACTTTATTGTAAATCAAAATAAATACTAACTGCCTCAGTTGGTACATCCATCATTTCCTGGGCCAAGTCTTCTCTTATTCCTCATACCTGGTGCATTAGACGGTCATTCCCTGAATGCCCTTTGCGGGAAGAAGTTCAGCGTGAGGAATTAAAGAACAAGCTCTATAAACTGCAGATAAATAACACTGTCACATTCTGACGTCTGTTTGTGCTTTATCTTATTCTGCTATATATAAATACAATCAAATAATGCAAAAAGAAAGATGAAAAGTAAAATATCAAAGAGGGTATTATTTTCCAAATACCCATAAATGGAATTAGTAGACTAGATCATTAGGTTTTGCCCCAGCCTTCCCAGTAGCAAAGGCTGAATAGGAAATTGATGTTCATGTAGCTCTTGCTGGATGGAGGTAAGAATAGCAGGTGGGACGCACGTGCACACACACATGAACGTGATAGACAGTTAGTTGGTTGGTTGACTTTTAGCCAATCAAACTACTTCGTGGATCTGTTAAGTGTATTTCCTTTAAGGTTTTTCTCCTTAAATTATTATTCCAAAGTTTTTTTATCTTTTTTTTTCCTTTAGCAATAGTCTGGCACTTTCATTTGCCAAGCCATTTCTTATTCAAAGGCCACCCAAAGTCCCAGCTCTCTAGGAAAACAAATGATTTCCATCTGGAATGTGAGAGGATGAGTGCTTTGATCCAGGTTTTTGTGTCTTAGTTTCTCTTTTGTTGTTGGTTTTTATGTCACAAAATTATTTGTGTTTAGGACATTTTCCAAGATTGGCTTTGATTAAGACCCAGTCATATTAATGTAAAAGAATAAATAAGAAGAAAGATAATTTGGGGGATCTAGAATATTTTTATGTGAATATTTTGGCAAAAACATGAGATTTTAAAAGGGTTTAATAAACTGGTTTTTCCATCTCTCTGATGAATGAATTAGTTAAAAAGTAGAATATGGGGAAAATGCATAACTAATCAAATACCTGAAGCAATTTAATTCAGTTTAAGAAAACTATTGTCTCACGGGGAGGGAATAACATAGAGCTGAGCTATACAATCAAAACTTTCAAATTATTTACAATCTAATGGAACAAATTATTATTTTAAAATACATGAAAATATTCAAACTTATTCTTACCCAGAGTCATTTTTTCTACTGTATCTAGAATCTCTTTATTCAAGAGATTTTTCTAACACCAACAAAGTGCAGGTATTATGACTGTTGTTGAGGATACAAACAGAAATGAGACAAGGTTCCTGCCTTTGGGGAAGGCGGTGCTTAACAGAGGAGGCAGATAAAAATGCAAATATTTTCAAGAGTTCTAATTAACTGAAACTGAAGTTTGGATCAAGCAAAAAGGAAAGGAGGTAATTTAAAGTATACAGAAGGTTCTTAGATAAAGAGTAATTTGGTTTAACTGGAGTTTAATGTTACGTAGTCCCCACTGTAGTTATAATGGCTTAGCTAACAGATATAAGAGCCTAAACTAAGTTAGGAGCAGTAGGAAGGGAGAGAAGATGAGGAGATTTTGAGTTATTCATGAAGTAACTGACAGGATATTGAAGACAATGAAGAAGTCAAAGATGACAAGATTTCAGGATTGGGTAGATGGTGATTCCATTAATTTGATTGCAGAAAACTGGAAAAAGTAGGTTTGGGAACTCAGCTTATGACACGTTGAGTTTGAAACATGTTGCTTTTCTATAGAACTTGGCGTCAGGTTGGTTGTCAAGCAGTTAGAAATTTAGGTCTGAAGCTTAGTAGAGAAAGCTGCACTGGTGATATAGGTTTGAGATTACACAACACTGGGCCAAAGCTGAGTAGTCATGGGACTGGTGGTTCAGGAAGGTACCCAAAGAAAGAGCATTAATGGACATAATCACATTCAAATTCAAATTTACTCTATATCTAAGTCTGTTAGCATTTATTGATTCAATTGCTGTAAAGTTTATACAATGCTATGTCAAAATATATTATTCCCATCTCACTAACTCTATACCACTTCCACATCTGGCAAATATGGTGGTCAAGTGGCCTCTTCCCAGACAGTCTTGCTTATCTCCCTGCTTCACCAAATGTTTCCAATCTGTTCATGTACATACTTTGTGTTACTCATATAAAACAATTGTGAAAATATAAAATAAAATAGTAGCTTTTTGGCACTGCTTTTAATATTATGAGACATAAAAAGTATCTAGTGTACTATTACATAATTGTACTTTATATCTATTGATTACAGTTTGAATAATATTTTCATGTTATTCAACTAATAAAACCCCTGTAAGATAAGGATAGGCGTCTTTGTTTTAAAAATGAGAACAGTTGAGTCATGTGTGGTGGTGGCCTATGCCAGTAATCCCAGTGACTCAGGAGGCTAAGGTGGGAGGATTGCTTGAGGTCAGAAGTTCAAGACCAGCCTAGGCAACATAGTAAGACCATGTCTTTAAAAAAATTTAATAAAATAAATTAACGAGACATGGTGGCAAGTACCTGTGTTCCCATTCCAGTTACCTATAATCCCAGCTCCTTGGAAGGCTAAGGCAGGAGGATTGCTTAAGCCCAGGAGTTCAAGTCTGCAGTGCAAGTCTGCAGTGAAAGTCTGCAGTGAACTATGATTATACCATTGCACTCCAACCTGGATGACAGAGCAAGATTTTGTCTCTTTAAAGAAAATGAGGACACTTATTCAGAGGGAATAAGTGACTGAGGTCATATAGTAATAGTTCTATGTCATACCCAGTTTCCTAATATTCAGGGAAATGGGTATAAGCCTGAAAGAAGTGTGTGTGTGTGTGTGTGTGTGTGTGTGTGTGTGTGTGTGTGAGAGAGAGAGAGAGAGAGAAAGTGAGTGAGAGAGAAAGAGAGAGACTGTGTGTACTTTCGTATTAATTGATGTGATATGGTATAATATTATCTCTCACAACCTGGCTCAATTATCCTCAATTATTTCATCTACTTTGTATTTGCAACTTGTAGCCTTATCTTTTCTT